TATTTCACCTTAATAAAATACCAGAAATACAGGAATATAGCTGTGTAGCATGTGCTCTGTGAGGGCAATAAAGACACTCTAAGTCAGGGGCCCAAACACCTCAAACCTAACAAACACAAGTGCCCCCAACCCTGTATTTAGGCAACTTCTTTTCTCCCAGGAAACTCTGCATTCTCTGAGCTTGTTTCCAAAATACTTACCTGGTATCCTCCATAACTCCTCTGTACTTTTATCTTAAAATTGACAGTTTTTTAAAAAACTCAGAGGACAACCTTAACAACAGAAAATGCATTATTACTGTCATTGATAACTCAACTTTCATTGTTGGTGCTTGGAACTAAGGGTTCTTGATAGATGTAAAGCCCCTGGGCATGCACGGGTGTCTGTGGACACGTTTACAGCAATTGGTTGGACCCACAATTCTTCCAGCTAACCAAGCCCACTGCCAGGCATACTTCAGATTAGGCACCCTCTCTTTAGTCTCACCAGCACTTGCTATAAGTCTGGTTTATAACAGCTCTGTCAGATGGGAGGCCAGATGGCTCAGAGAGCCCGAACCAGAGGCACAGACCTGTGGAGATGTCTTGTTCTAGGACAGATAGCTTGCACTGTCTTCTGTTCCCTTTTGCCCTGGTAGTCTGTGGGACAGCTGAATGTGGGGGCCACCACAGAAATCTGGATGGAGATTTGCAAACACAGCTTTCAATTGAGTACCAAGGAGAGTGAAAGATCAATGTTTTCAAAGATAAGTCCCTTGGGGACTGACCTTTTTACTTGTCTTAGAGGTCTGACCTCTTCTATTCCCGGGTGAGGGAAAGAATATTATAATCAAGGCAGTTTTCAGAATGTTGTCAAATCCGAGTTACAGGATTGGAAAAGACCTTTGCAGTGAGAGCAGCTGCCTGCAGGGGAATGCTGATTGCCCACCGCCAGTAGGCCTCATTACATAGAAGACCTTCTCAAAGTTCAGCTTTGGGCCTCAATAACTAGTGCTGGCAAGTCCCCAGGGTTAACAGGTTTGTGGAGGACACATCATGTAACTCAGGATACCAGACACCAAATACCAATTGTTTCATTCAAAATATGAACAGTTTTGTGAAAGAAAGGACCCAGGAGTCAGTCTGATGGGCCTAGCTCCCCTCCCATCCCCCACCTAGGAAAACAAACACACTGGACACTGAAAGAGGTCCCCTCAGGAATGTGTAGACTTGACACTTTCAGGCTTCCCCTTGCACTGTCACATTCTTTCTTCACCACGTTAATACCATTTGCTCAGCAGAGGCTTTACACATGCTAACAGTTGCTCCCTAAGGCTATACCTTGTTCTCAGGACAAAAAGAAACCTCACTCATCAGGTTAACATCTTAATTTTCCATGACAATAAAAGGTACAGTAACTGTAGGACTGTAAGGTACAGTCCTTAAGGTAATCAATCCTGGAAAATCTCTTGAGGGGCCAATGCAAGTTGAAAATGTAATCACCATGAATTTCAATAGACAAACATTTTGTATGTTCCCCAGTATCCCAAAATTGATATCCACTCTTGCTAAACACCAAATCTCATTAAGACAGGCACAATTACATCAATACTTAACACTGGCTATCATAAACACAAACTTAAGGCATTTCCCCTGGATTAGTTATGACTAATTGTATTATTACTCTATAATATGGCCATTTACATGTTTCTTAGTTTTATGCCCTGTACATTTAAGATTAAATTTATAATAACACACATACAAATGTTATCCAATATTAATATAATTCAACCTTTATTTTAAAAATGAAATTAATGAAAGGCATGCAAATGCTGTTACTTTTACTGAACACGTTGAAATGCAACAGACACAATGTGTAAGATTATCCCTGTTATAAATAGGCAAAATTATGAGAAATTTGATGGGAGAACCTAAGGTAACATATACCAACTATATAATGATGATGTATGATGGCACTCTTCTTTAGGTACTCAGTGACTCCAAGTACACCCACACAAATCCAGCCCAATAGATGCAAAAAAATGTCTTGAGTATTAGTTATCTCTGATTGCAAAACAAATCATCTAAAAACTTATTGGTTTAACTTTAAAACAATAAACATTATTCTTCACTGGCCTATGGGTTCTTTGGAGGGCATTCTGCTGGAATGGGCCAGTGTAGCTGAGCCTAGATGACCTACACTGGCCTGGCTCACATTACCTGGTGGTTGGCAGGCTAGCTGATATAAGGGGCCACACCCACATCTGGCAGTTGGTTAGTCAGTTGGGAGGATGACTACATGTCTCTCATCATCCATCAGGTTAGCAGGATTTTTCAAAAGGTGGTGGAAGAGTTCCCAGCAGCAGGAGAGAGCAAGTCGCAATTGTAAGCACTTTTTAAAATCTGATACTCTCCTTGTATCAGATTTTTAATGTCTCAGAACAAACCAAGTCATATGCCCAAGCCTAAAATCAGAGAATAGAGAAATAGACTCACCCTCTTGATAGGAGAAGCTGAAAAAAAGTAAGTTCACACTTAACATGGTTAATAGGTTTTGTGACTTTAAGTGATATGTATAGCAAAACCAATTTTACCATAAAATAATTGTTATAAACAAGAGTTAAGGTCCCAAGGCATCTCATCAACATTATAACAAAATGTTATTCAAGGACTTGCTGTACTGTGGCTATTCTTTTAATCTACCATACCTTGGATACCCATGGAGAGAGATTAAATGATATTCTTTGCAACCAGATGAATGTATATTTCTGGGTTGAAACATATTTCTATCAAAGGGGTGGGGGCTCTTCTGATTTAACTATTGAGGTCATCTAGTAAGGCTGCTCTCTCAGATCCTTTTTACACCTGAGACAGGGACAAAACCAAAGAGGTAGGAAAAGGCTTGGGCTCCATAGGCCATGTGAAGAAATTTAGGTCTCAATTCCGAGAGCAATGGGAAGACAGAGTGTTTTAGGAAGGAGCTGCAGCAAGGACAGTAATACTAGGAGCTTTGCTAGGAAGAATAGTGAGATGCGGCTTTAGACACAGAATATGGGGTCAAGGGGCGGATGTTTTATTTATGTTTTTAAGCACAAGATGGTTGAAACTAGAGATTGTTTGAATACTGATGGAAAGACCCAATACTGCAAAAGGTTAAAGGAAAAGCCCTGAGAACTGAGAATGGAAACTTCAGTACATGTAAGATGGGCTAAAAAAAAATCCCCAAGGCATTATCATGCAATAAAATTGACTGTATTTTCGTTGTACAGTTTTACTGATTTTAACATGTATAAATTCCTGTAACTGCCACAAGAGGATACATCACCCCAAACCCTACTCTGCTATCCCTTTATAGTCACTCCTCCACCCCAACTCTTGGCAACAACTGACTTATTCTCCATCATTATAGTTTCAATCTTTTCAAAAGTTTCATTTTTGAGATTAGCTTCTTTCACTCAGTATAATGCCTGTTGTTGTAACCCCAAGTTGTTGACTGTATCAATACTTTATTCCTTTTTATTGCTGAGTGGTATTCCATTGGGGTCAGTTTCTGATAGTATTATCTGGGTCAGTAAATAATATCACTATTCTTTTTTTTTTTTTTTGAAGATTTTATTTATTTATTTTTAGAGAGGGGGGAGAAAGAAAGGGAGAGAAACATCAGTGTATGGTTGCCTCTCATGCGCCTCCTATTGGGGACTTGGCCTGCAACCCAAGCATGTGTCCTTACTGGGAATCTAACCGGTGACCCTTTGGTTCTCAGGCCAGCACTCAATCCACTGAGCCACACCAGCCAGGGCTCAATGAACATTTTTGATTGAATAAATTTGAAGAAGAAAGGGCAGGAGTGGAATACCTGTAGATTTCCAGGTTTTAGGGCATTCTACATTTTCTGTTATATGCATAGTAAGCTAATCAGGGGAAGGGGTACAGTAAATATTGGGTTAGAGATATGCAGATATATTGGAAAGCAAGTTGACTAGAAAAATATAATGAAATTTCCAGCCACTGTTCAGTCCATTTAAAGTTGAAATTATTAACTTAGTGATGCCAGTCTGTTGAGCAGGACAAATTTCTATGACAAGGCACAGGTATGGAAGCGCATGTCGGTCCATTCAAGGTAGAGGAATTAGTTGGGGAAAAAGGAGTGATGGTCAGGCTTAAGGGTATGCAAGAGCAGGCCTTGACTGGTGTGGCTCAGTGGGTTTGGGCGTCTTCCCGCAAAGTGAAAGGTCACCAGTTCGACTCCTGGTCACAGCACATGCCTGGTTTGCAGGCCAGGTCCCATGAGGATTAAGTACAGGCTTTCAACAGATTGAAAGTCCTGATAAAGTGGGGGCGAGGGGGGAGTTACAGTGAAGTTCTTGAGTAGTCAAACTGAAAGGATATAGGGCTGTAGTAGGGTAGAGGGATATTTTAATTATCCATTTCCCCACCTTTGGAACCTGGGAATGCGAACACTAATCCATGTGAAGCAGGGGGGATCCCAAGAGATGTCTTAAAGGACAAGCCAGGTCTCAGGCCAAGAAGAAATGGAGTTCAGATAAAAGCTGATCTGGAAGCGGGAATCTCAGAGGAAGGCTGGCTTGAGATTTGAGGTTGAGGAGGGAACCGAAGCAACAGAAAACCCTGACACTCCTTTTCCTTTATTTACCTTCCTCACAACCTGAGGGCCGCGCCACACCAACCTCCGTAACCAGAAAGTACGCAGAGAAAACTGTAGGGACTCTTGCTCTTTTCAACTCTCCGCGGAAGTGCTCATAATGGATTTCCTCCGGGTCCACGCTTTCTCACTGCCGGAAGCTTCCGCCAGCTCCGACCCGCTTCCGTTCACGACTTAATTGGGCGGTGCCGTCCCTAAGAAGTCACTTCCGCCTGACCCCGCCCCTCGATCCCTTTTTGGCCGCTTCCGGCTTTAGGCCGCGCCCCATCCCTAGCGGCCCCGCCCCCTCCCCACCCAGGGCTGACGGGCGGGCCCCGCGGCGCCGCTTCCGGTGCGGGCCCCGCCCCGGCTGTGGCCCCCGGCTGCGGACCAGTCGAAGGAGCGGCGGTGGTGCTGGGGTCTGAGCCACTGGCTCCTCCACCGCCCCTGAACCTGGAGCCCCTGGCACAGGTAAGTCGTGCGGTCCCGGCTCCCTCAGCCGCGGCGGGAGCGGGGTCTGTAGCAGGTGGAGGCAATGGAGGGGCAGGTGTGCAAGGATAGACGTGAAGGCACTGGCCGGCGGAGACTGGGGGCCGCGGAGGAAAAGTCAGAGCGCTGGGAGGAAACCGGAGACGCTCTGCGCCTCTTAGGGTGATTGTAGATAAAAGGATGGGCCGAGTAAGGCTCTCCCCCATCCCCCGGGAACTGAGAAGGCGAGATAGGTGGGGTTGGGACAAACAGAAGAGCCAGTGGATTGGCTAGGAGGGCTGGTAGAGGTAAAAGTAATCGGACTGGCTGTGGCGGGGGGCGGGGAGGGTGTATAAAAAAGCGGGGGGAGAGAGTAACCGGGGAGGGAGGTATAGGGCTTGAAGGAGGCCAGGGCCAGAGACATCGCGCAGTGAAGATACTGGGAGTGGTGAATGAGACCTGGTTCAAAGCTGCAAACAGTCCGTTGCTCCGGACTCGGTGGTCTGGGAACTTTAGGGAAATGAGGGAAGGGGGCCGTGTGAAGGGATGAAGTGACTTAAGAGTTCTGAGACGAGTTTTTTAAATGTAGACAGGTGGTATTGTTGTTTGGATCGACTGGCTGCTTAGGGACGGGGGACGATGGGCTTTTGGGGGTAGGGTGTGTGTATTGAGTTGTAGAACTGAGTCATATCAGTCTTTCTAAAGAGGCTGTGAGACACATCTTCCTCTGCTAGGGACAGCAGAGATGGTGCCACAAGAAGCAGTTCAATGACTGGCAGGACTTGGTTAAAAAATTTCCTGCCCCCGATTAGCTGTAATGATTATAAGGAAAATTAAAAGGGCCAACGAATTATTTGCTTCATTCTTTAGTTTAATTTTCTTTGATGCAAACTGTTTTAATTTTAAACGAATACTTTTGCTGACTGGATTTAATGTGGGTGTAAATCTTTTCCTGCTTTGTTACACTATAAAAAGGGCTAAAGCAGAATGAAAGTATGGTACAGGCATAACACACTTTCTAAAGTGCTAAGCAAGGAATTAAAGGTAGTAGGAGGCAAATTGGAATTTGACTCTTTCTCAGAATACAAAAGCCAAAAGCAGTGCTTCTAAGATAAATAGAAAATTAGTTTTTTTATCTTTTTTTTTTTTTTTTGCCTAGCTTTAAAAATTAGACCCTTTTTTTTGTAACCCATTAAAATACTTAAACATCAAAGCAGTTTTTATTGCTGGGGATGTGATTATTTCCCCATGAATTTTTGAAGATGCTAACGATTACTTTGTTTCTTTTAACCTTTCCACCCAATCCTGAAACAGCAGAACAATGCAAATGTTAATTCCCAACCAGTGCAGTGCACTCTCTTTTCACGTGATGATAACATTGTATGCCATATTACAAGCCCTGTTCACTTAAAATTTGCCCAGGCATAGTAGTAATCTCCATTCAGTTATGAAGCCTTGATGAAGTAGCATAGCTCAAATGATGCTTATTGGGGGTAGGAATTGGAGAGGAGGAAGGGAAGGGGGAGTGAGAGGAGGAGAGCATGTGAAAGGGGTGTGTATTTGGATACTGATTGGTAAGAATGCTGATAAACCAGCCCCCAGAATATTTTTGGCCTAAAAGCCTTTTCTTTTTGTATTTGCTATAGAGCATAGTAGAAATGCTTCAGAAAGAAAGAGGATGTGAAGAATTTACTTGGCTGTGTATAAAAAAGCATTAACTTACTGTTTAGATAATATTGATATCTGTTTCAAATTAATTAACTTTAAAATCTCCAGAGGCATTTCCCCCTGTTTGTTTTGGAGTGACCATTGCAATTTGAAACTCTTGCCTCCTTGCTGGATTGGAGGGGGGCATACATTCTTTCATCTTGTTGAAATTGGATTCTTTTTAGGCTATAATGTCCTGTTGGCATGGCCCAGCCCACTTGAAAAGCAGGCTGGCAATTTGATCTGGGAAATTTGAAAAGTTTAGACCCAAGAGCAGATTGCTAAATTCTTCTCGTCTGTGAAAGAAGTCATTTTGTCTGTCTGATAGTTCTGTGTCTAGTTTGGATGATAATTTCTTTCTCTGATGGACCTGAGAACTAAGCAATATTTTCTGTTTTGTAGGCAAGCTCTTCCTTTTATTATTGTGGTTTTCATATTCACAGCCTTTGTACAGTGCAAACCTTGTTGCCTTTCCAGTAATAAACAGATTAATGTTTGGTATGTTGAGGGAGAGAGATCAGAACGCAGGTGGTTTATATACTAGATACCACCTGGATTTACTTCTTTTTATACGCACAGTAGTCCATCACTAATAAGATTCATCCCATATTCCCCTTTTAAATCTTATTCCTCTCACACATTTCTCTACCTTACTCACCCCTGAAACTCCCACCACTCACTCATGTTAAAATTCAGGTTTAGGAGCTTATGTTTAGTGTTCAGAACTCATTCCCTTTACTGGAGAAAAGAAAGTTATCTTATACCTGTTTTCCATAGTGATTTTTTTTTCTCTTTTCTCCTTCTTCGTGGTTTCTGTTAATCACTTAAGGTTTAGACCCAGTGTGCCTGCTGGGCTGTGCCCAGGTTCAGAGCCATGCCAATTGGTGGGTGAAGCTTTAGGCCGTGATGGAGCCACCGCAGCAGCCACCACCGCAGCCACCGAACATAGCTCCTCTGGGGATGGATGCCAGAGAGAAGCAGGGACAGCAAATGAGAGAAGCCCAGTTCTTGTATGCCCAGAAGCTGGTCACACAGACTCTCCTTTCTGCCACACCTGGGCGGCCTGCTGGCAGCTCTTCCCTGGGTCCCTTAGCCAGAGTTCATCCGCCCACAGCAGTGACCCGAGTTTTTGAACGGAACAGCGCAAACTCAGAGCCTGAGGAAGAGGAGGGAGGCTTGGAAGATGACGATGGGGATGATGACATTGCAGATGTGGCTGAGAAAGAGGCCCGGGCTGCTTCAAAATATTCTCAAGGGCAGAAAGTAGTTTGCCAAGACCCCAGAGGAGCACATGTATCTGGCGTCCTTCCAGCACCAGGGCTCCCACCACATGGACAGCAAGCTCAAGAAGACCATACCAAAGATGCTACCAAGGCCCCACCTTCAGTCTCTGGAGCTGGGCCGCCAGGCTGGAATCAGGATGAGCAGCTCAAACAGGTCAGACTTTCTTGCATGGGGGTCATTTGTTCTTCTAAAGGCTAGCCAGAGAGGGACACTGGACTGCCAGGACCAGGGTCTGTGCCACTCTTTGCCTCCTTACCCTACTTCAGTGACCAGCAGCTTAGGCATGAACAGACATTAGTTTTTTTCGTCATACTTGTTTTCTTGATTAAAGCAAAGAAATGTGTAAGTCACTGCTCGTATAGATTGTTCCAAGTGTGAAGGGAGAGAATGTTAGTATAATCTCTTTTTCTTAAGGAAGGATGAGGTTTCAACAGTGTTATGAGGAATATCTAAAAATGAGATATGTGACTCTAATTACAGTTTTCCTAGTAGTGATGTAAAAGAATAATCTTTTTTTTTTAACTTTTTATAAAAATCCTCACCCTAGGATATGTTTATTGATTTTAGAGAGAGAAATGGAAAGAAATATCGATGTGAAAGATAAACATTGATTGGTTGCCTCCCATATGTGCAGTGACTGAGGATCAAACTTGCAACATTTTGATGTACTAGACAGTGCTCCAACCACACCTGGCCAGAGCAAAGAACAATCTTGCTTAGGATAGTTTCTTAGCTCCAGACTAACCCAGGATCCCATTCTTTAAGGACAGTTTTGTTGTTTGGCTGCTAAACATAACTGACAAGAAGTGCTTGCATTGTGTGTATTTTCTAACAAAGAGCCCTTAGACATGATTTTATTTCACAGGAAAGGGTAGTCCTCAAAATGCCCATTTTAGCCAAGGCAAGTTTAAGTGATTTTTAAACATAATGAGCATTAGAGTCATCTAGGGAGCTTTAAAAATATATACATTGCAGGGTCCTAATGAATTATCTTAGGGGGTGGAGCCTAAAGAATCTGTTCTCAACCAAGCCTTTGATTTATATTCCTCTTCTGTTTCTGACCTGCCATGCACTTTTTCCTCACCCAGAGAATGGGATCAATGATAAGTTGTTCCAGATTGTGACTTACTGGTGCTTGGACAAGAAGCTTATGATAAAGCTAGTAATTTCTGTATACTCCCCATAAGCACATACTCTTTGTGCGGTCCGGTGGTGTGGTTTAGACACCAATTATGAAAAGCTGTGAATTTTCACAGGGCAACTTAAGTCACCTATGGAAAGTTCTTTGGACCCTGAAAAATCAGCCGTTTTGTATACAGGAGCCTGTGCAGTTCATCTGAGTTTACAACTCAGATGATGTCAGCAGGAGATTCCAGAGCCAACAAAGTGAGGTCCAAATCCCATTTCTTCCATTCATTACCCTGTGATCTTTCAATAGGTCTCTTCATCTCTCTGTGCCTGTCTTGTATCTGTGAAATAAAAACCTTGAACAGGTTTTTGTTTTTGTTTTAGTGAATTAAAAGGCAATTTTTATTATCAGCAGTTGCAAAATGGCAATCACACACCCTTATGAAAAATTTACAGAAGTTATCAGACTTGGTGGCTAGCAGAGAGATACTTAAATATTTTGTGAATGAACTTGCCAACAGAACAATAACAAAAAAACTTCAGAAGGGGAGCCCAAGGTATTTTATGGCTCCATATAGTTTCATTCTCCTTTTGGCATATCATTTCTCTGGTCTGATCCAATGCTGAACTCTGGTAAAGAAGTGCCACATGGTGAAACAGCGTCTGAATACAGGTAGAAGAGAGAACTGGTGCAAAGTATACCAGGGAACAAACGAATTAGGACATCCTGCTAGGTCTTACTTTTGAAGGATGGCACCTTCTTTGTTAATTGAAAAATGAAAAATGGGGGAGATAGCAAAAAAATATTAATAAAATAAAAGTGTTCTGGCTCTAGTTTCTCTCTTTTCTGACATTATAGCAAACTAATGTTTCATAGTCCTGTATTTTCATGTATTATTCTGGAACTGTCTGCAGGGAGCCTAAAAGGGGCTGTGGACTCGAGACAATCTGCAGTTGAAAGTTCTTTCAAGAGGAGTTCTGTCAGGGCTGCGAAAGGAATAGAAGGATGTTGCGAGGATTAACTGAGCTAGCATGTGGTTAGGTGGCAGTGCTCCAGGTGCTCTTTAATACAAACTGCCACCTCCACTGATTCTGCACAGACCTGCCCTGAGGAAGGGAAGATGCTGAGACACACAGAGGTTTTTCCTTAGATCGCCAGGGAGTAGTGGCAGAGATAGGACAAGGGATCTGAAAAGCCCAGCTTCCACGACAGCAGCAGCCTGGCTGTCAGCCCAGACCTGCCTCCTGGCTGATTGCTCTGGTTAGCAAGACATCTGTGAGTTGCTGGCAGCCCCCGCACTGCTGGGTGGTTGGCAGGGTTCCATGCTGGCCGCTGAGTCAGCTCATAGTGGGATCCCGCCCTGACGGCACTGGGAAAGTTCAGGCCTGAGGCAGCTGGGCTGCCCCTGCCTTGGCAGCTGGCCAGCCTTTGCGTGTGTGCGGTCGTTCCTAGAAAGTGCAGTGGCGTGCGAGGAACAACTGGAGCTCCAGAGCCTGTCTGTCTTCAGGAAGTGCAGCAGGTGTTGAGGTCAGGCCATTAGAGCTTTGAAAAAAGAGACTCTTCAGAACTGGCGTGTGCGCGCACACACGTGCACATGGTAGCAGGTACCCAGTGCTGGGTTCTAGATGGCAGCAGTCCTGTGACCACACAGCTCGGGGCTAGGGGGACTGGCTGTGCGTTTCTGAAACTCGTTGAGTTCCTTTTAAGTCTCTGAGGCATACTCACTAATTATAGACTGCCTGGCAGAGCACTGCCAAAATGTTTTATAAATGCCAGTGTAGCTGAATGAGGTCTAATCTCATCCCCTGAATTTACTTTCCCCTTGGATTTGAGGATCAAGAATTGGGTTAGGGGGTCATTGGGTAACAGTGGCTCAAAACCTTAGATGTGTACCTCCTTTCCTTCTGAATTTAATTTTACAAAATCCTTGTGGTTTGTGCCCTCCACCTTTGATCCTGCTTTTTGGTTGTTGTTTTTTTTTCTGTTTTAAATTTTTATTTACTGATTTGAGAGGGATGGAGTGAGGGGAGAGAGGGGGAACGTCAGTTTGTTATTCCACTTATTTATGCATTCGTTGGTTAATTCTTGTTTCTGCCCTGACCAGGGATCAGACCTACAACCATCATGCATCAGGAGGGTGCTCTAACAGAGCTTCCCGGCCACGGCTGATCCTGCTTTTAAAGCAGTAAACTATGTGCTTAGGGACTTAAAAACCTTTTTTTCAGTTGTGTTTCAAAAGAGGAGCCAAAAAAAAAAAAATTATGGGGAGAGCCTATTAGGAACCATTAGGAACCACAAGACTGGTTTTTTTATTATTCATAGTCTTTTGTTTCTTAAGCAGTTACTTACTAGAGAACAGAAATAAATGATCTCTTGCTTCAGCAAAAATTACAAAGATTGACACAAAATGTTCTTATTGTTAATGTGCTGCAGCGTTCATTTTGTTGTTTTTACACAGCAAACTTTTAGAGAGCCTTCTTTGGGCCAGGCCTGTGCTTCAGGGACTAAGGCATGCTTGTCCCTCAAGGAGCTCATCCTGATCAGCAGAGGCAGTGTGGGAACCTCAAGAGGAGTTGTTGGGTCTTGGGTTGCAACAATTTCACTCTGTCCTGAGTCAGCTTAAGCCAAACTGTTCAGTCGAAGCTATGCTGACAGATAATTTTAAAACAAAGTTTTGCTTCAAACATTCACACATTGAGGTAAAAGAGTTAATTTTGTCGATACTGTAGCTAGCATAACTTGGTAAACAAACAAGAAAGCCCAAAGGTATTTTGCAAGATTTTGATGGGTAGAGGAGGCGGCACAATATCTGCTAACTGAAAAGCGGAAGTTGAAAAGCTTAAGGGCTCCACAGATTATCTTTTGCTTCTGAAATCCGTTTCTTAGAACATGTGAAGTCAAAATAATTTCATGGATTCTCTTTGAAAAAAACTTGTAGAAAATAATTGCTTCTCAGGCCTGAATCCTTAGAAAGAGCGTAGGATTCTCTGACATCAGAGTGATGGGAAGATGAATAAAGCCAGGGAGCCCAGGGTTTTAGAGGCAATCAGGTTTCAATGGGCAGAGTAAATAATTGTAAAACAAGACAACAAAGAGCTGAGTGCCCTTCCCTCAAGGGAGATCAGTGAGCTCTGTCAGCATGCTACCCACTGGGGGCTGTTGCTGGCCTAGTAGGGGTAGTCTTCTGTCCTAAAAAGAGGGCAGTTCAGGCAGTACAGGCTTTCTTTGTCTTGAATCCACTAGTGGAGCCAAGTTTCCAGAAGGGCATAGGCTCCCTCCCATACAATAGATAGACGAACGATGGCTTGAGAGGCATGTGGGAGCCAGAGTGTATGGGCCTGGTTTTCCATACTTTAGCAATCACTGTAGTTACTGACTGTGGGAAAGAAAAAGGGTGACTGACTGACTACTTGGTCCCCAGAATCTGTTAGCTAAGAGTCCCTCTAAATAGTAAGGTGTGTTCTCTTGGGTTCAGCCTGGTTTTCTTGGTACATACTGCATGTCTTTGGAGCATTAGATGTTTTTTGTAAAGATTGTGCAAACTATTGCCTGGAAAAAAATAAGGTCAAAGCTTTCCTCACTTTCTTTGTAGGCTAATCTTGCCTGCCCTTATTGCCACCTCTTTCTCCCTCCAGGGGATGTTTGGCAACCTGTTTGGTTATCTTGGTTCTGGGGAATCAGGGAGAATGTGCCACAAGCAGATAGTGGGTAGAGACCAGGGACAGTACTAAATAGTCTACAGTGCACAGGACAGTCTCCCATAACAAAGAATTATCTGGTCCAGAATGTGGCAGAGGATGGTGGTAATCCTCTCCCACCATCCTTATGTAGTAATTTTAAAGATTTTATCTATTGATTTATTTATCTCCCTGCCAAGTTATAGCAAACAACTAAAAGTCATCTTCTTATTAACACAAATTGTAATTTCTCTTTATATTTTCTAGTACCCAAGCTTGTTGGTCATTTATCTGCTCCTTCCCAGAGTCATTTCAGGTCTTCCTAAAATTTATTCTGCATTGGATTC